AAGAGAAGCCAGGATAGGAGAGATATGATCTCTCTTTTTCATTTTAATCAGAACTTGAGAAGCGCACATATTGATGTTCATCAGAACTACAGCATCGAACAACGATAAAGTTCTTATTTTCAGGGGGACTTAAGACTATTTGCTTTCTATTTTCTAATGTTAGACACAATGTTGATGGCTAACTCAGTCAATATCTTCGAGTCAGTCAGAGATAGCCAGACTAATGTTACACTACATACTATACTATAGGACATATCGGTGTTTATGTGGATTTTCTTGGTTAGTTCATCCACTGACTGTCTTCCCACAGCCGACAACCTGCTTGTTTTGCAGCCAAATGCTACACAGGAAGGCATTTTTGCTGTGCGTCTCTGTGGGAGTGAGGAGTACCAATATGGCGGCTAGTGGCCTCACTTTTTTTGGGCAATCAGCATCCAGTGGATAAATAGAAATAAGTGGGTTGAGCCGTGAGCAGAAGAACCCGGGCTGGTGAGGGAGATACAAAAATGATAAAACAGAGAAACATTTAAATAAAAACTTATTTCTGGACTAAATCTAGCCATCTTTCAGAGAAATATAACTTTTTTTCTCTCTTTTCTCTGCATTAGATCATGGTTCTGTAAATAAACATAACCATCAATTAAAAGAAAAACTTCTTGTTTAATTACCTCTAGGAATAACTAAGAAATCTGGATTGGTCCTGGTACCGGTCCAGGTTCATCTACAAGAAGTTGAAGGGGTCCTTTGGTTTGTTCTGATTCCTGGATCTTCTGCAGAATTCATTTCAGCAGATGGATGATTCTCCATCAGTCCAGAAAACAGAATCTGCTCTTCATCATTTCATCACCATCATCATGACACTGGATCCAAAGTTTTAACCCTAATTTTAGGTAGGACTAAATAAACACCTGGAGCTCTGCTTTCCTGTCATCTGAACAGGTAGGAGCTTTGTTGACCTTCCCTGTGATGCTTTCAGGATTTCTATCAGCAACAAACATTGAATATGAAAAAAACACATAAAAAAAAAAGTTAAACAAAACATTAGAACCAAAAAGATAAACAAGAACTAAGTGGAGTTTAAGCATTTGATCATAAAAAAACGGATTAAATCAAAAGTTATATCAACATTGTAATCTTGTTTTTAAATAAAAATTACATACAGTTGAATGAAAATAGCTGCAAATTTGTCAAAGAAGCAGAAACTAAAATAAGGTGAATTTATAAACCAGAATGGAGGAAGCCAAACAAAAAGAGCTGTCTGAATAAACTTTAAAGTTAATTATTGGAGTTTTTTGTTGTTGTTTTTTCAATAAAAGAGTATCTTTTATTTCAAAATACGAATTTAAATTAGTTTACGGATTCAGCTCTCCTGGCCTTGCTTCCAAACCCTGACATAATGTATTGTAATTTGCTGCCACCTAGTGGCTGACTGTGGAAACTACTACTTCCTCTTAAACGGGAAACCGGAAACTGTCTCAGAAATATGTCAATCAAGACATCTTTCTGAGCAAATGTGAAATACTTGTTATAGTCACTAATCCAAATTTAACAAGTGTTTAACCTCGAACTCAAAACTAATTCTGACATTTTAAATTGAAAAAGTTTCTTGGATGGGAAGCAAAACGTCTTCAAACATATTAGAACATATTAGAATACCATTGAAAAACTGTAAAAACAACAACAAATCAACTAGATAAACAAATTACTTAACCATTTTAATCTACATGTAGAAAACCTCCAAGTATTTTAATAATATTGTTTTGTTTTCGCATTTGTTTCCTATATCTGTTTCACTGGAAGTCATACAACTGAGCTTTAACTTAGTTTTTTTTTTTTTTATCCTGATGTCCTTTTAAAACTGTCAAAGCAAAAAAGAAAAAAAAAGTAAAGAAATATGTGAAATTGCCTAGTAACCATGGTTTTCTCTAGAACCTCCTCAGAACCAAGCCTTTGTTGCCTGAGAGCAAAGCTTGGGGTCATTGTCTTCTATGAAGGTTTCGGTTTCCAGAGACTTCCTTAATAAATCCACGACCTTCTGGTCCCAGAGGACATCAAGCAGCCCACAGCATCACTGTGTCACCACCGTGCATTTATGGCCTGCTTTGCTCTTCCTGTAGTTTCGCTCTCACAAACCAAAACATTTCGAAATAAAAGCCCCAGGGAACTCTGCTGAAATGTGCCACAGGTTTAAGTCACAAGATCCGCATCAGTCCACTAGAGGAACGAGCTGGAGAATCATCTCAATCGTTCTGTTCATTATTGAGCCGCTTCGGCGCACCTGCTCTACAAGGGAGCTCTTATTTTGAAAGGCTGGTGGAGATGAGCCGGAAGCTGCTTTGATGTCGTGTCGCTTTACTTGAGCTGAACGGATCTGTGGAACTTTGTGTCGGGCGGCACCGATTTCAGCTCCAGTTTGTTTGGTGGTAGTTAGTTTGGGAAGTGAGCGCGTGACTGTTTTACACTGAGAGCGCGGAACCGGAACCAGGAACCGAGATCAGGTGAGTCCATCCGACTCCGAACCGCCGAACCGGTTCTCCAGCTGCGCTGGTCTCTGTCAGACCATCTGCTGCAGGACTTTCAGCTCAGTTCCGGAGCCGGTCCTAAACTTGAATCTGGTTCCCTCCTCCAGCCTGCCCGGCCGGCCATGAGCATCCATCCCCGCAGGATCCGCCTGAAGCCCTGGCTGCTGGCCCAGGTGAACAGCGGCAGGTATGCGGGTCTCCAGTGGCTCAGCCCGGACCACCGGCTCTTCCAGATCCCCTGGAAACACGCCACGCGCCACACGCCCGTGTCAGAGGAGGAGAACACCATCTTCAAGGTTTGAGTCCCGATGAAAAGCAGAACCCTGCGCTGCGCTGCTGCGGACCGCAGCTGGCAGTCCAGAATGGGGAACTGGGCAGTGAGGCGCGAGGACCGGAAACGTGTCCAGTACTGGTTCTGATGTCTCACTCTGCTTCAGCCGTTTGGACTTCCTTCTGCTGAGAGGTTTCATTTCCTGCTTTCTCTGGTGAAGCAAAGCATGAGCTGCTCTTCCTCTTCTCAGCTTCCTCTTTTCTGTCAGACTGAGGAAAATCCCAGGGGCGGATTCAGGAAATTTGGGGCCCTGGGCAAAGACAGGCAGGGGGCCCTCTGATTTGAGAAGACAAAAACACCCATTATACAAACAGTGGTGCCAAAAGTTCACACCTCTGTTTCTTCAGTAGAAGTATAGATACGGCAGTTTAAAAACACTCTGGT